TATATATATATATATATATATATATATATATATATATATATATATATATATATATATATATATATATATATATATATATGTATATATATATATATGTGTATATATATACAGGTAATCGACGTTCGGGACAAGCTGAACGCCCGAACGTGCGGGACCCCTTGGGGATGCGTTCGGCCATTCTGGCTGAACGATGACCCAAAAAAACAAAAAACAAAAAAAACATCTCAAACAAATATGAAAAAATAAAATGTTATGATGAAAAATAAAATAAATAACATTTCCCTAAGTATTACCTCAAAATTCCTTACCAAATTTAAAATAAAAATTCAAAATAAAAAATAAAACCAAGAAAAAAAATAAAAAATGAAAAGATAATTAAAATTAGTGAGTGAGCGAGAACGTTTTTTACACCGCCATCTTTGGCGATTTTTCATTGTTTTTTGGCACCCTGAAAATTTACTGATGTGTACTTCACATAATGCAAAACTCACTAAAAAGACTTCAAAATATAATAGAATTGTTTACAATGTAGGTTCTGCAATAAAAGAAAATAAAAAGTAAAGTGCAAAAAAAACAAAAAGGTCAAATTTTGACACCGCCATCTGTGGCAACTTTTAAGTTTTGTTTGACTTTGTAAAATGACTTTTAAATTTATAGGCATGTACCTCACATCATGGACAACTTACAAAAAAAATTCAGAAAACAACTTATTTTTAGGCCCTGAAATAATTTTTGACTGGGGCCGAACGCCTTCGGGTTTGGACCTCAAACAACACCCCGAATGGCCGTATGTACGGAGGTCGGCCCGGGGACCTCTGTACGTACAGGATGGGGACCCTATCTATCTATCTATATATATATATATATATATATATATGAAACGGTTTTCACCTTTTACCAGTAGCGGATGCAGTACCCAGGGTTCGATCCCTAGACCTCACCTTACCCATGTACAGTATCTGTGTAGACCCCGGGAATTGAACCTGTGACGTGTGTATTCGTAGGCAGTTGGTAGGCCTGTCGTAGGTCCATAGACAGCAGGGGTTCGATCTGTAGGTCTATAGCGTAGGAGTCTTAGTGAGTTCCGAAAGGTTAGCTGTAGACCTTCTAGAAGGTAGGCAAGTGGGCAAGTGGGCAAGTGGTCAAGTGGTGAGGCAAGTGGTGGACTAAACCGCAGTGCAACAGCAGTACGTCGGTAGGATAGCGGTGAGTCCACAGTCAGTCAGCGAAAGGTCCAGTCAGTCCCAGTCCGGTCCAGCAAGTACCACAGGGGGACTGTGAGCACCAAGGGCCAATGGCAAAGGGCAGACCAACGAGTTTCTGAAGTATAAATCAAGAGGCAGC